CAATGTTGTATGCTAGGAACTACTATCGAGATGAGGGCTATATTATGCGAGAAAAAGACAATTCATCAAATCGGGTACCAAAATTTTCTTCAGAGAATGTTTCGATGGTGGCAGTCTATCTGGTTTCTGAAACTTTCATGGTAACCCATATTTCAAAGATAAGTAAGACACCTCTTGTCAAGTCAAGAGTTCATGAAGAAGAAACGGGCCAACCCTCTTTCCTTGAAAGGTTTCACCGTGTTAAGGCCTCCTACTTATCGTCTAGAAATGGATGGATTAAATGCACGTTCTGAAAAACATGTAGGTTGCCTTCATTTAGACATTAACTGTTGAGGAAGCATTGATTTCGATACTTGACATGATTGAATTGTGTTACTCTCTCATGATAAGGCGCTTAGCTCGGTACTATCAGGTACAGGATCCCCTATTGAACTACAGGGTGCGCCAAAATTACGGAGACAACGCATGAGCAAACAATTTGAACTGATATTCACAGATGCTGTTTTCTTCTGTCCTAGTTTTGGTACTGTGGTGTAGAATTGTTTATGCTTACCTTGTTCAACCACCAAAATCTATGGTAGCTGCAGCGGTTGACTGATACTGACACCGTCCCTAAATCATTGGACTTCGACGTTGAGGGTTTTTGGCACGCGACAATTATCATCGTTTTGGTGTATACCCGAGCACTATCAATAGATGCTCCAAGTGGTACAGGGGACAAGGAGCTGAATGCAGTCATTCTGGATGAGAAGGGCGTGTTTCTGTGGCGACCACGAACAATCTAAGGATTGTGTGCGATAGAATTTGCAGGTAGTTGACGCGCTGGTTTCACTGGATGTCACGAGAGATAGGAATCAGGGGGGCTCTTTTGGACTTATCAGAGCCCATTGCTATCCTGAGTTTATTTTCACTTTGAAAATCGTTGCTGGGCCTTCCATCAAGTAGGAGCTCCCGTTTACGAGGCAAGGGTGGTTCAGTACTAGTGCAGCATTGATGCAGAACCGATTTTTTCGACTTTGTCGGCTTAAACGGTGGTAGAACAGCATTTCAGATCTGAGCTCGATAGGGTACGCTGTCGGATCCGTTCTAGAAGCTGAGGCTTGCATAAAACACATTATGTCTAGGGATTCGTTGAAGAAACCGCTCTAAAATGAGCTTGACGAGTCCTACTCGCCACATTGCGTGCCACAGTCGATGGTTCCTCGATGTTTCTGAGGACCCGTATAAACACAAACCAAGGAATTTCAAAAATTGCATGGATGTCGACGATTCAGAATGGGACTGTGCACGTCACTGCATTTTTGTTTTCAAAGAATTGCACCTTGCTCATCCTAGGCAACTCGAAGTCGCTGTCTCCGTAATTTTGGCGCACCCTGTACATATGGTGAAGGGAATCCCACCAAATTCTAGGCTGGAGTGTTCTTGAATAAATAATAATATGGTGTTACTCAAACTTTCAAGGAGTTTGACACCAGTTTGGTTCTCCCATCACCCAAATGAGATGGATAATAATGCGAAATATCGCAAGCAAAAATAAAATGCAGCGAAGTATTTTTGAGGGACAAGCAAAGCGGACTTTGCGAAAAAATGGAGATAAAAAACTTGTGGCGTTTTTAAGTCGGAATCTTTGTGTTACATTTAAAACTGTGTCTACATGCACCACTTCCACTTTAGAGCCTTTTTGGAATACGTCATCAGATGCACAGTGATATTAGGTGAGTCAGAAAGTCTCCGCCATTCTGAGCTCCTAACTTTGAAGCACCACAACTTTGCTGAAACACAACCCTTCCGTTCAAAATAAAAACCTTTACGTTTATCACCAATTTGCTACGCCCGCTATCGCCCTCATGTTAACATATGCTCCAGAGAAATTGATTATGGCCGGGCTGTTGCATTGAGTTCCATACTGCATTCAATGATTTGACTGATGGCATTAAAAAATCAGATGATGAAGCAAAAATTTTCGTAGCTCGTCAATACCAATAGCACCATCATTTCTCTAGAACTAACAAAGCCTGGAGGCTGAATGAGCTTTGGATAGTTAATACAATTACAGGCCTGCTTATTATCAGCCCGCAGCGTAAGGGTCTACCATGCTTGGATGATGGGATGGTTTAGCGGTCGAGCAACTTCCTGTGCCAGTAATGAGATAGAAGTACCAATACCATAGTACTGCAAAGACACCGACCATTCAAGAAGCTCCGACAAATTAGCGGCCGAATAGATCACGACTACATATCGAAGAAATGTGGAAAATTCTTATGAAATTTATTTACAAGAACTTCAGTAACATTCGCCTTATAATGCTTTTTAACAGCTCCTACCAGCACTTATCACTTTCTGTCCCCACCAAATATGTTCCCGTCCCACCCCTATATCATATCCTTAAATCAACTCCTGACGACTGCTGGTACGCGCGCTATGAATTTCGTGACAAACAGACGCACACACACAGACACACAAACGCACAGACACACTTAGCGAATTATATGTAGTAGGATATTGTTGTCAATGATGCCTATGCTGAAGTCTCCCCTTTTGAGAGAAACTCAAATTAATGCAGGCTTAAAGATGTAGGGAGGCAATTTCGCCATATCCCGCATATCCTGTTCTCAATGCGATTTCTCCTCCAAGAGTCATGCTTAACCTTTTCGGCCCTGGCGGTGGCAATTGCCACCATCAAATTCAAACGCTTGCATTGCCGCTGAAACAGCATGGTTTTTCTAATCCTGCTAGAGGTTGCTTCAGTCAACCTTCCCCTTCCTAATTATGAGCTAAACCTGCCATTTCATTGTGTGTTGCTGTTAGTATTACAAGTATTTGTGTACAACAATGAATCGACGCTGGTCCCCGCAACCGGCCAAGTAAGTGTCACTTTTTCCTTAAAATACTTGAAGTAGATCCATTCTTTTATCAAAATTATGGGTTATAATGTTGTGCAAGATTATAAACTTTTTCGGCATAACTATGAAATTTGGAATTGTTTCGACATAAGCTCAAAAACTAAGAAGGTGGGCCAATTTTCAAAGCCTCCTCATTTCTTTGACTGGAAGTGGTGTAGTGGCAAGTGGCACGCTTACCACGCGAGCGGTCCGGGGATCAAATCCTGGGTCGTGAGTCGCCCGGGCCAACCAAGCCTTCCATCCCTCCGGGGTCGGTTAATTGGTACCAGACTTGTCTGGGAGGATAAAAACACTGACTTGTACATCGGCTGGCCCCCGCAAGTCATTGTATAGGCCACATCGCATTCAAACGCCACTACGAATGTACAAATGGAAGTAGAATGCGTGCCGCATCCCAAAAAGGGATTGATCAACGGCAAATGCTTTATCCTTTATCCTTTATCCTATTTCTTGGTTTGCGATCCTCGGATACTTGGAATAACTTTAGAATTTGCTGCAATGATACCTATGTGCCCACAAGCAAGAAAGAATAGCTAGAAGAAAAATTTCTCCACGGAAAAATTCAGTTCCGGACGGGTTAAAAGCTTGGTTTTGTTGGTTTCTCAGAGATATACCTGGGCTATATGAAGGCTGGCAAAAGAACATTTGAGTCATCTTCTAATGGATTTTAAGAGCGTATTTTTCTGGCGGGCGGCCAGCGCTATCGTGATTAAGGATCGGACCTTATTTTTTTCTCGGAGCAGACTATCATTCCCGTAGCTTCTCTTTTTTACGTCCTATTTTTTTACGACAGGCTCCAGCGTCGTCGAATTACTCGATTCCTGGACCTTCACTGCCATCAGATTTTGAAGGAAAACCCTGCTGGAAGCGCTTCAGGTTTTGTAACGTTCCAAGGCAGCTAGATTCAGTCCACTATTTGGTAACCCTTCACTGTTAGCGTGCAGAAGCATAGTCTTACCCCACACTATTACCCATCTTGAAAACTGTTCCTTACTGTTGCAAGGAAGAGTCCAAGCACACACCTCCACGCGCGTCGCAACTAATCAAGCTGCCAGCAGGGGCCAGTTCGATGGATAGATTGACTACACTTTCCTCCTTACTCACAGCGGTGCCTTTAGACCCAACCTGCCACATCTGTAGTTGAGTATCGGTGATATCCTTCGTTCTTTTGTACAATCTCGTATAGTTAGGGCTCTCCTTTCACTACGCGCATCACTTTCGAGCTTTATTTCTCCAGGCCCAAGCCTGCCGAGCTAATCTTGCGCTATGCGTTTCCTAGCAGCATTCCTTCTCAATGCAGTCGCCATATTACGAGCTGGCCCTGGCGTGTCTCTTCCAAGTTTGAAGACATGAAGTGGCAACAATCGAAAACAACGATTTTGCGTAACCTAAAAAAGAGGGCAAAATGACAGCAATTTTCAGAATTACCACGAACCATTCGCATGGGTATAAACGGCTAATCTTCTAACGTCCAAAACGTCTGAATAGTTACGAGATAATTTACCAAAAATGCAAAGTAACACTCAAGGTGCAAAACGGCGGATACTTTTTGAGCGACCTAATATTATACTTCCATCTATAAAATTTGAAGTTGGCAGTATAATATTATCATTGTGCTGTCAGTGTACGTTACGAATATGCTTATATCGGCAGAAATATAGTAAAATTTGAAACTCACATAAAAGCAATTCTTTGCAACTCCATCAGGAAAATCAAAGGGGGACTCATCTCTCCATACACCTCTTGTGAACAAACCAATCATTACCCAAACATGATTCTCTTCTTTCATACTTTCTTTCATACTTAGGATTCTTCCATACTTCATGACGTGCATTCGTCTTATCAGATCTACAAAAAAAAGATGAAGATGAGGTTCCACTCACTGAACGACAAAACTTGTTGGATTGCCCTGAAAAACCTGCGACACTTCGTACTAGATCTTTATTGGTCATTGTTCTAATAAACCTCTCATTCAAGCAGATTACAACCATCCTATATATATATATATATATATATATATATATATATATATATATATATATATATATATATATATATATATATATATATATATATATATATATATATATATATATATATATATATATATATATATATATATATATATATATATATATATATATATATATATATATATATATATATATATATATATATATATATATATATATATATATATATATATATATATATATATATATATATATATATATATATATATATATATATATATATATATATATATATATATATATATATCGTCAAAGTTGGAAACTTCTTATTTTTGATCTAAGCGCGGCCGATACACAACGAAATTGTCCCAAATTTAGATATTCCATACAAAATCGAGTTCAAAATACGACGGGAAGAACAATTTCCAAAAATCTATAATCATATTTGAGAAATAAGATTTTTTTCAAGTAATGGCGCGTCAAAAGTTTGGAAACTTTTTGTTTCCCTTATCAGTATGATTCCTACTCTTCAATGTTTACTTGTTTCTGTTAATTTTAGTTAAACCATTGAGCAATGTGTAATTTCAAAATGAATTCATATGCAAAGAAAGCAGTTTTTCCATGGGGTCCTTTTTTAAACCCTACAATCCGGAATACGAAATTGAAACTGATTCTTAGTAGTTCAGTCTCTACGGAAGCAATATTATCGGAATGTTTCTAGCGTTATTAGAGTCGAGTAAGCATAAGAAGAATGATCATTCACAAAAAAGTATCTTCACAAGAAAGTTGGTCCTCTTCAAATACTTCGAAAGGTGGTTGGCACGTCCCGTGCCCCCAACATTCCCAACTAAGAGACAACTTTTTCTGGTTTTTTCCTAATCATGAAAGTCCAAGTGCACGCCAACATCGGCCGCGATATGGTGAGTTTTACGGATGATGTCCCAACAAGAAGCCGTTGTTGGGCTTCAAGGGCAGGATGGCCCAACTGGCTTCCGCACTCTAACGGCTAACATGAACCGGAGCCAAGAGGTGAAACTTTGTCCTCAGCGACGAATGAGATTTCTATCTTCCTAGAAATAATACAGTGGACCCTGTGAAGTGTTTTGTCAAATGGGAACCTCATTTTTGAGTATGAGATTCCAACAGCCAGGAAATATAGTGGAAGTATTGCCATGGATGGAGATGTGTATGACCATTCGGCGATTCCCCAGTTCTTAGTATCCAGCGAAATGTGTGTTGGGCTAAATACAAGGATAGTCTCTAGAATACAACGCTCCCCTTCGATAATCAGAACTCCGGAAAAGATGGGTTTTTATCGGAAATGACCCAATGCATGCCTACCTCCTCACTGCCATTCCAAAATCAAGAAAAAGAAGCTGTTATGAAGCGACCAAGTCAAGATCTAAAGTCTAATTGAGTTCTACATCCCACGGAAGAACTGGCATGTCGCTCAACCCACATTCCAGTTAAGAATCCCACCAAACAATGTGCTTTAGTTCACAGTGTATGAGGTCCGACTTAAAAATCCTAAAATTATTTTATAATCAATACCATGTCAATAAAAACGACGCTAACATAGAAATTTAAAGCTACTCATCAAATAACTAATTTATCATGTGGATTTGAGAGCTATTTTGCCGAATTCGCTTTAGGAATTCGGAAGTTTCCAAACTTTTGACGCGCCATTTCTTATAAAAATTCGTATTTTTCAAATGCGATTTCAGTTTTCAAAAAATCATGTTACCATCGTAATCTACACTAGATTCTGAATATAATATGTGAATTCGGGGCAATTTCATTGTCTATTGGCTACGCTAGATCAAAAATAAAAAAGTTTCCAAACTTTTGACCGCTACTGTAATATATATATATATATATATATATATATATATATATATATATATATATATATATATATATATATATATATATATATATATATATATATATATATATATATATATATATATATATATATATATATATATATATATATATATATATATATATATATATATATATATATATATATATATATAATATATATATATATAATAGTGCGTGCGTCGAAATGAATCGTACCGAAGACCAAGATTTCGATTTCAGTGACAAACGACCTCGAAACTGGGCCAAAAAATGGGTAAAGGTGTGCATTGGTAAGTCACATCGAATTAGGGAGACCCACCCCCGGTGGGCGGGGCGTTCTCTAAAAAAGCAGTGCTTTATGAAAAATTTCATAACTCGGTTGGGAGAAAGCCTACAGAGCAGAAAACAATTTGGTGTAAGGGAGCAATGTCTAAGGTGTTTCCTGCATACATGACGTGGGCGGAGGCCCGCCCAGAATGGGCGGGGCGCGCTCTGAAGTGTACAGCATTTTCTACAAGCCCTCATAATTCGGGTCGGGGAAGTCTTAAAAGAGCCGGAAAAAGGTGGATAGAGGTGTATGGAGGAGTGGAGGCCAGCTGTCAATGGTGGGCGGGGCTTGACCAAAGTGGGCGGAGTTTTGCCGACGAAAATTCATAACTTATCGGCCTTCCCAAAGGCCCCTTGAGGCAGGGAAAAAGCCCGCTGTGGATGAGTGCTGCATAGATAGAGTGACGGCCGCGACGCCCTCAATGCCTGGGCCGGGCTTGACCAGTCTCTGCAGGCGTTCGACGATATATATATATCTCGTGGTTCTCTTGAAGTCCAGACGACCTGGAAAAAGGTGAAGGCTCAGGTGATTTGCGCGGGAGTGGAGCTAGCCTTCAATCGTGCCGGCGGCAGTAGAGAGGGCAGATTATCAAGCGAAAATTCATAACCCTCGCTTTCCCAAGAGGTCCTAGACCGCGCAACGAAAGTGAACTGAGTCCTCGTCCAACTAGAACTCAGCGGAGTCCAACTTCCATTGAGTTGGCTCTGGCACGCTGCACACAACGCGTTCGGCCCAGTTTGCCCTAACAACTTCAATATTACATCCTTATTGACCAGCATCACGGGAGACTCACCTGGAAAAAGGTGTCCGACGTCCGACAATGCATCGGAGAAACACTGCCTAATTGCGTGAAACACGTCCGCGTCTCGGTGCATCAAAGTGGGCGGAGTTTACGACGGCCCAAATCATCCCCACTCAGTTCCCACAGAAGCTCGGATTGGAAACCAGATACAGGTAATGCGAGCGAGTGGGAGCTCAACGCCCACTCGATTCCGCTAGCCAAATTTTCTTATGACTCCCCACGCGGACCTGCGCATGTCCGTGGGCGAGTTAATACAAGAAAATTTGTAACTCGGCTCAATAGTCCTCGCGACAACTCCGCGAACAAGGGCAAAGAAAGGATTGAATTCAATGGGTGCGGATGAAACCAAACGGAGTTTGGCGGCCAAATAAATCCGCTGGGCCCCTCAGCAGACAGCGTCCAGAGATCCGGATAAGAATGGGGAGCAGCAACCACTCACAGAAGAGAAAGAAGATAGTACCACACCCACAACACCCGTAAACACACGGTCAACTTCAGCATGACAAAATAATCGGAGTCAAAAGCAAACCCATCCGTGGATGAGCATGACACATTCGCACAGAATTCACCACAAGACAGACACACACCACTACTCCGCTCACCTTCGCTCCATTCCCGAGAATTTACGCCGCACCACCCCATATGGCTCAAAACTGTGCTGTGCGCGCAACACGCGTGCGGCGCCAACTGGTATATATATAATTCGCTAAGTGTGTATGTGTGTCTCGTTCTCGATCCATCACCAAATATGTTCCCGTCCCACACTCTACATCACTTGACGAATCCAACGCTTCATTGCTGCTGTGACACGCGATATTCATTTGATGACTCGTGCCTTTCGGCGCCCCTTATCAGCCCTTATCAGCTGTTATCACTTCGGTCCCCCACCAAATATGTTCCCGTCCCACCCTCCACATCACTTCTTGGAACCAACGCCCACTGCTGCTGGGACGCGCGCTATGAATTTCGTGAAATTTGCGTTCTGGCGCCTCTTATCAGCTCTTATCAGTCGTTATCACTTTCTGACCCCCCACCAACAATGTCCCGTCCCACCCCACATAACACTTGTAAGTATGGACGCTCTGGTCAACGCGAGCCAGGTAACGGAATCGACGACTTTTGCGTTCTGACGCGCCTTATCAGCCCTTATCAGTTGCTATCGCTTTCATCATGTACCACCAATGTCCCGGGACCACCCCACATAACACTTGTAAGTATAGACGCTCTAGTACCAATATGAACGACAAAACGAAATTGGCGATGCTCGCTTTCTAGCCCCTCTTATCAGCTATTATCAGTCGTTATCAGTTCCTATCACGTACCACTTGTGTCCCCATCCCACCCCCTATAACATATGTAAGAACCACTGCGCTATCGTTGTGACTCGAGCTATGAATTTCGTGACAAACACGCACACACACACAGAAATACTTAGCGAATATATATAGTAGGAATTTTGGGAAATTTGTAGGTGGAACTAAAATTGTGCGTCGCAGTGTATGATTAAAAATCAGTGCACTATTGAAACTGTGATAACGCGCAGTCCACCCTGCCACTTGAAGTGGGCCAGGACAGCGCGTAGATCTAATTGTAAGTGAGATTTCAAATACTGTATCAAGAAACCTGTAATGTAATCTCTTTCCTTTGCGGAATGCACTGATACCAAATGAGACTGCTCTTTCTCACATTCCTTCTCAGCAATATCAAAGGTGAGGCTTTTGAAGTTTTCTCCGCTCACTATCTGAAACGATGTGTAAAAGCAATTAGAGCTACAACAGTTACTAACTCAGTCAACACGATGTGCTTGTACCTACAGGAACTATCATAAAGAATAATAAAGGATAAAGCATTTGCCGTTGATCAATCCCTTTTGGGATGCGGCACGCATTCTACTTCCATTTGTACATTCGTAGTGGCGTTTGAATGCGATGTGGCCTATACAATGACTTGCGGGGGCCAGCCGATGTACAAGTCAGTGTTTTTTATCCTCCCAGACAAGTCTGGTACCAATTAACCGACCCCGGAGGGATGGAAGGCTTGGTTGGCCCGGGCGACTCACGACCCAGGATTTGATCCCCGGACCGCTCGCGTGGTAAGCGTGCCACTTGCCACTACACCACTTCCGCCCAAGGAACTATCATGGGCGTAAAGATTTTTCGCCACAGCGTTATCAGCCGATGAAGGCGTGAGGCAGTAATTGTTGGACGAGTGTAAGCCCATGGAAGATATGATACGATGAGATAAGAAGGTGCGGCTGCTTGATAAGAGGTGCACTCCAGAATGAAAACGGGACGATAACGATAACGGTATCATATCTAGCACGCTCTTATCGCACCCCTTTCCACATCGATAAGTCTTGGTTTTTGCTGAACGGAAGTGGATTTCGGCGCCTCATCACATCGTTGATTAGGCGCCAGCACCATCGCTACGTCACGTGTTCTAACATTAGGCAGGACCCTCATTCACTCAAGCTTTGGGTGCTTCCAATGTCGAACGTGCGCGCTGCATCGCTGTGAACTGCTAGCTCCATTCTTTCAGGGATATCTTCCTTCATGATTGACAATAAACAGATCGATACCGTTAGATGGTTTACTAGAATATGGAAATTGTCTTCAGTATTGTGGAGGTGTTTGAGCGGTCAAGTCACATTTGTTTTTGACTTTTTCAGGCTCTGGCGAAGACGAAGAAGCCGAATAGTTAGCCTAATAAAGTTACCTAATCTTGGACGGCTACAGTCAAGTACTCATCTGACTATAAACAAGTTTTCTAGCACACTTGAATTTACACACTTTCTTCGGATCCCCATCAAGTTTGCCATTTAATTAGGGGAGTTCCTCTGTCAGTAAATGGTGGATGGAACTTCAAAATTCCTTCTTCCAAAATTACTTTTTTCAAATACGATCTTATGCAAAGCGAATACTGAAATAGGTATTGAAAAGTTGAAAACGTCTCTCTTTAGGGCCTGGATACCAAATCAAATAAAAATCACACTTTTGACTTTTCTTAGTCCAATGCCGGTTTTTCGGTTCATAGCGCATAGAGCTTTCTTTCAAATATAAGTAGTGTTTTGTTGCCAAAATTGACCATTGAATACTGAAAGCTATGAGTCTCCGGAAGCGATTCTTCCCGTTTCAAGCAGTGTTCTCACAGCGCAAAGATCTTGGCGAGAATAATGCCTATGCTGAGCTGGTAGATTTTGAATCTACCTAGAATCGGCCATGACTGGGACATGACGTGTCGTGTCGCGACAACATTAGGGGCTTTATCAAACTGCTATACTCCCTATGGTTCTCCTTACAGAAGCATCTAGTGATCTTCTTCTTCTCCCTAGCGTTAGTCCCGCGCAGTCGCAGGGTCCGCTGTCTTTGTCAGTCGTCGCCACTTCGCTCTGTCCAGGGCATCTTCTGCTGTGGCCATGACTTCACTTAGGTCCTTCTTGATCACGTCCTTCCACCTCTTCTTTGGGGCTCCTCGCGGTCGCTTGCCTTGCACTTCGAAGTCCATCGCTTTCTTATCGGGTCCTGTGGCCTCCTTAGCACATGCCCATACCATCGCAGTCGCTGTTCCCTCACCTTCAGCTGGACAGGGGCAGTCTGCATGACCGCTCTGACATCCTCGTTTCTGACCCTGTCCAGTCGCGTCCAGCCGCAGGCCCATCTCAGCATCCTCATTTCGGCTGAAGCTGCCTTTCGTGATTCTTGTTCAGGGGCCAGCACTCGCTGCCGTATAGCATCGCAGGCCTTACCACTGTCCGGTACACCTTCCCTTTGAGCGCTCTGGAGCACCTTCGATCGCAGAGGATTCCAGTGGACTCCCTCCATTTCATCCATGCAGCGTTGACCGAGCCTTCACTGCCTGATCCACACTACCGTCGGCTGCCAGATCGCTCCCAAGGTATCGGAAGTCCTCCACTCTTTCGATGGTCTCACCATGGCCGTCCACGATCGGCTCTGCACCCTCTTCAGAGCTCAGGAACTTGGTCTTCTTGACATTCAGCCGGAGCCCACCTTCTGCCAGGACTTTCTGCCATTTCTGCACCTTGGCCTGTAGTTCCTCTCTGCTATCCGCTATCAGGGCGATGTCGTCAGCGTAGAGGATGGTCTTTAGTGGTCCTTCCATGAGCCCTTCACCATGGACATCTAGTGTTAGGAGGAAGAGGAACGGGCTCAGAGCTGACCCTTGGTGCACCCCAACCGTGATGTCCA